TCGCAAAGAGTCAGACATGACTGAGCGACTGAACTGAACTGAAACTACTTTAATCATATTTAGAATTGCTATATGACTTTACTCATCTACTATCTCCCCACTCCATCCCTTTGGGTTTTCCCAGAGCACTGGCTTTGAGTGCCCTGCTTCATGCATTGAACTTGCACTGGTCATCTATTTTACACATGGTAAAATACATGTTTCAATGCTATTCTCTCAAGCTACCCCACCCTCATTTTCTCCCACAGAGTTCAAAAGTCTGTTCTTTACATCTGTGTCTCTTTTGCTGTTGTGCATACAGGGTCGTTGTTACCATCTTTCTAAATTCCATATATAACCATTAATATACTATACTGGTGTTTCTCTTTCTGGCTTACTTCACTTTGTATAACAGGGTCCAGTTTCATCCACCTCATTAGAACTGACTCAAAAGTGTTCTTCTTTATAGCTGAGTAATATTCCATTGTATACATGTACCCCAACTTCCTTATCCATTCGTCTGCTGATGGACATCTAGGTTGCTTCCATGTCCCAGCTACTGTAAACAGTGCTGCGATGAACACTGGGGTACACGTGTCTCTTTCAATTCAGGTTTCCTCAGTGTGTACGCCCAGCAGTGGGACTGCAGGGTCGTATGGAAGTTCTGTTTCCAGTTTTTTAAGGTATCTCCACACTGTTCTCCATAGTGGCTGCACTAGTTTGCATTCCCACCAACACTGTAAGAGGATTCTCTTTTCTCCACACCCTCTCCAGCATTTATTGTTTGTAGACTTTTTAATGGCAGCCATTCTGACCAGCATTTCACAGGTATTTTAAAATACTGCTGTTGCAGTGTATCTTATTACATCTAAGAATAAGGAAATGATGAAGTAAGCAAACAGTAAGGAAAAGAATTTTTTTAAAAACTGCACAAACTATTCTTTATCACCTCTGTTATAACACCAATGAAAAGAAATGAGCACATCAAAGATGATCCAAGAGACATTCAGTTATTTATTTATTTCAACCATCTTTCAGGGTCCAAGGTATAATGCAACCTTGATTAGGGTGTATAAATGTTTTTTACATTAATGAAAGCAAAACTAACGTTAAACTTACATATACCACCCCCCACTCCCTGCACAAGTACTCTTCCCCTAACAGTTACCACAGATGGGATCAACTCTAAATAGCTTTATCGCTGCTGTTTAGTGGCTAAGTCAAGTCCAACTATCTGTGACCCCACGGACTGCAGCACGCCAGGCTTCCCTGTCCTTCACTATCTCCCAGAGTTTGCTCAAACGCACGTCCATTGAGTCAGTGATGCTATCCAACTATCTCATTCTCTGTCGTTCCCTTCTCCTCCTGCCTTTCACCTTTCCCAGTATCAGGGTCTTTTCCAACAAGTCAGCTCTTCGCATCAGGTACCCAAAGTATTGGAGCTTCAGCATCAGTCCTTTCAATGAATATTCAGGGTAGATTTCCTTTAGGATGGACTAGTTTTGATCCCCTTGGAGTCCAAGAGACTCTCCAGAGTCTTCTCCAGCACCACAATTTGAAGGCATCAATTCTTCAACATTCAGCTGACTACTGGAAAAACCATAGCTTTGACCATATGAACCTTTGTCAGCAAAGGGATGTCTCTGCTTTTTAATATGCTCTCTAGGTTTGTCATAGCTTTCCTTCTGAGGAGCAACTGTCCTTTAATTTTATGGCTACAGTGATTTTGGAGACCAAGGAAATAAAATCTGTCACTGTTTCCACTTTTCCCCCTTCTATTTGCCATGAAGTGATGAGATCAGATGCCACAATCTTAGTTTTTTAAATGCTGAGTTTTAAGCCAGCTTTTTCACTCTCCTCTTTCACCCTCAACAAGAGGCCCTTAGTTCCTCTTCACTTTCTACCATTAGAGTGATATCACCTGCATATCTGAGATTGTTGACATTTCTCCCGGCAATCTTGACACCAGTTTATGACTCATCCCGCTCAGCGTTTGGCATGTTGTACTCTGGATGTAAGTTAAACAAGAAGACTCAGGGTGACAATATGCCCTGGGTGACGGCCCAGGTCACCCTGGGTGACTCGGTGTCCTCCTTTCCCGATTTTGAACCAGTCAGCTGTTCCATGTCCCGTTCTGTTGCTTCTTGACCTGCATACAGGTTTCTCAGGAGACAGGTGATCTGGTATTCCCATCTCTTTAGGAATTTTCCACAGTTTGCAGCTTTATGGCACAATATATCAAACCACTTGGGCTTCCCAGGTGGCTCAGTGGGTAAAGCATCTACCTGCAATGCAGGAGATACAGGTTTGATCCCTGGGTCAGGAAGATCCCCTGGAGGAGGGCATGGCAACTCACTCCGGTATTCTTGCCTGGAGAATCCCGTGGACAGAGGAGCCTGGCAGGCTTCCACAGGGTGGCGAAGATTCCATAGGGTTGAAAAGACCATTCGGTCCATAGGGTCACAAAGAGTCAGACAAAACTGAAAGGACTGAGCACACACCACACATATCAAACCACCTAAATCAGTTTTCTAAAGGTAAAAATTCATGTAGTTCATAGCAACTTCTACAAAGCTGTGGTTGACCGGCAAGACATCTAAGCTACTGTTTACCTAGCTACTGACGGATTAATGGGCCACCACAAAGCAGATGAAATGGTGATCTGTTTACAACAGCAACTGTTTAAAAAATCATGACTTTTACCTAGAAAATCAAAACTGCTGTTAAAAGAGAGACCAACATACTGTGTATGATTTTTTCATATGGCATCTGAGAAAATCTCCAAGGAACGATCCGGCTTTGTCCAAGGCATTCGAGGAATGGGCAAATGCTATTTAGCGAGAATTTTTATTGGAAAATTTAAGACTGAAAAAAATGGGGAGAAGAACTCAGTAAAAACAACCATTCCTAACAGTGTTAGATATATTCAGGCAGGCCCTGATCAGATGCTCCCCTCAGCTGAATCACCAGGCCATGGAAAACCCCAAGTTTGCACTTCAGAGGTTCTGAAATACTACCCTCTGGTGTACACATGTAAAATATACTAAGCTTGGAGAAACTGTTCTAAAGTAAGTTCCTAGACCAAACTAAACTTGGAAATAGGATGGATGATCAGTAAAAAAACAAAAAAACCCAGCTCCAGAAGCTTCCAGGAGAAAGTTCTAGAACCGTCTTCACTAAATTAAGCCTTCTGGAGACACTCTTATCACAGATGCACCAGAGGTTTAGGAGTCCTCCCCAGTGCCCCTTTCCAATCTAATTACTTACTCGGTCTCTAGTGCCAAAGGCAGTCCTCCACATGTCCACACCACAGAAGTTTATGCCGCACTAGGGAAGTCTGAAAAGCTGACTGCTGCTATCCCAGACTTCACACTAGGAAAAAGAATGTTGAATAATGGACTAATGACTTCTTAAAATTTTCCCTTTTCAATTTGAGTAATACCCTGTTAGTTTTCTATTACTCCTGCAACAAATTACCAAAGACTAACTTAAAACAACAGAATTTCTTCTGGAGGTCACAGACCTACAAGTAGTCTTATGGGGCTACCGATCAAGGTGCTGAGAGTGCTGGTTCCTTCTGGGGGCTCTCAGGGGAAAATCAGGTTCCTTGCCTTTTTCAACTTCCAGAGGCCTGCCCTTGAACACACCACTCCAACCTCTTGTTTGTGTCATCAAATCTCATCTCCTATCTCCCCTTTCTAAGGACCCCTGTGATTATATTGGGCTCACCAGTATAATCCAGGCTAATCTTCTCATTCACATCTTTAACTTAATCACATCTGCAAAGTCTCTTTCATCATATTCACACATAAAAGGAATTAGGATGATTAGGATGTGGACATCTCTGATGGCCATTATTCAGTCTACCACACAACTGTACAGAGATTTTAAATTCTATAAAGTATATTTATCAACCATATTTCACTCAAACCTTATAAGGTGTTGTCATTAATTTTTTCGGGGTGGGGGGTGCTGCACCTCAGGCATGCAGAACTTCCCCAACCAGGAATGGAAACCACACCCCCCACAAAGGATGCACAAAGTCTTAACCACTGGACCACCATGGAAGTTCCCCATTACTTTTTTTTAATTAAGGATCAAGTGGGTCTAGAAAGCTAATCTCTCTGGCATCACAAAATCAGCCAAAGAATCAGGACTCAAAACCAGACCCACATACTGCCTTCTCCATGCTGCTGTTTCTAATTCCATGGCCTTTCTCTTCTTGTTTTCAACAAATTTTTAACACAATGAAAGTCCAAACTACAAAGTATCAAAAAAAATTCAGACCACACCAGAGGTTCCTACACTGTCCCAGGTCATTGCTCCCTCAGAATGTCACTTACTCATGGCATGCCCAAGGTCAAAAGAAATGCCTAACAGTCTGCTGGGTCCAAACTTCATAAGCTGCTGCTGTTTCGTCTTTAAGCTGTATCTGACTCGTTGCAACCCTATGGACTGTAGCCATACAGGCTCTTCTGTTCCCAGGTAAGAATTTTGGAGTGGGTTGCCATTTTCTTCAGGGGATTTTCCCAACCCAGGGATTGAACCCATGTCTCCTGCCTTAGCAGGCAGATTCTTTACCGCTGAGCCACCAGGGAAGCCCAAACTTAATAAGCATTTATGACCTAACAACTTAGCATCTTTTGGGTACTCTACAACTTCTTAACTTCTGATTCTAATAACTTATGAAGTACACTTTCCCAGCGAAAGAGCTGGCTTCCAGATAGCTCAATAAATGAACAGAAATAACATAGATTAATGGTATTTTTCAACTACCCAATTAGAAACTGGCAAACATATATAAACCAATTTTTGTCAAAGATATCATAGGTCCCTGTTAGTTAGCATTATGACTTAAAAGCTTAAATTTCAAAAAAAATTTACTGGTCTCAAGGAAAATACTTGCTTCAGAAATGTGCTGTCCTCTTTCTGGCAGTATGACCGCCTTACTCTTGTCCATATGTGGATGAACTAAGTCACTCCTGTAAGAAGTGCAGGTGTGCCTGAAGCCCAAGAGCCACACCAGGATGTAATCACTGCCAGATACTGTGCATATTCACCACACAGACATCCCTGGAAGGTAGCTGAGAGAATTCCAGTCTTAACAGTGGAATTCTAAAAGGCCCAAAGTGTGATTCCTGATAATCATAAGCCAGCACTGTCCAAGAGAACTTTCTTCGATGATGAAAACATTCTATATCTGCACTGTCCAGAAAGTCAGCACTTGAAAAGTGGTGAGTGTGACTGAAGACCTGATTCTATCATTTATTTTAAATTTAAATAACTACATGTGGCTAGTGGCTACATTACTGAACAAGAGAGATCTAGGACAATCCTAGAGATTCCAGTCCCCCTGGCAGTGATCTGGCTCAGGCTTATGACACAATTCTGACCAATGAGAAAGGAGGAAAAGGTTTCTCCTGTACTGTGGTGGCGGCAGTGGACGTGGGGGGGGGGGCACCCACAAGGTAGAGAAGATTCTTTTCTCTGCCTCTGGATATGGTCTTGAAGATGTGGCATCTAGGAAATGCTGCAGCAATCTTCCAAGTAGCAGGGCAGCAAACCTACAGATGAGACAAATATGGTGAAGAGAGCAGAACAGAAGAATGGGAAGAACATGATCCCTTGAAACTAACATCAATGAGCTGCCTGACCACTCCTGAAAAGATAACATTTTCATCTATTAAGATATTTACATATTTTTATTTCTTCAGATATTTCCTAAGCACTACAGCACTGATCATAAAAGATAAAAATCCCTGTCCATAAGAATTAAACAAATTCTTACTGTTTAAGTCAGCCAAACTAGGATTTTTTGATTAACTGCAGCTAAAGATGTACTAATTCACAAGAGCAACAAAGTAAAAGTGGATGAAGTAAACGCTCTTCCTCAGAACAGTAGTGAAATAAACCTAGGTATTTAAATATCAGATATTGATATCAATTCCAAAGAAACTCTAGAATTTATCCTAAATAATGAGTCATAAGTACTTTGCTAAAAAAATCACATTAGCAAATATTAAGGCCAGATTACTAAAGGAACATAAGTAAATACATATCATTAACAGTAAACTAACCACCTGTATACTACCATCCAAGGACTCATTTAAAGTTGTAACTAGTAAGGTATAAGTACAAACAGAAAATTTTTCTAACTTAGTTTCTCTTCCATTCACCTCCCTCTGTACTGTTTTATATTAAACAATTACAAAATATGTATTATTTAATTGTCTAAGTGTTCTGAAACCAAATAAGGGTCCGATAGCACATCATGAATTTTACTAATCATATAAACACAGACTAAGTGAAATAATTCAAATCTGTTGGATCAGGTAAATGAATCACACTGGACTTCATTGTGTTAAAACAGGCCACATGCACACCTGAAGTTAAAAAACAAAGCCAAAACACTACTGCTCACAATTTTTGGCACTTCTGTGCTAAAAAAAATTTTTTTTTAAACATTTAATTATGGGACAGGACCTCTAGAATGATGCCAGCAGCCAGGGCACAGTTGTTTTCTGAATCCTCCTAAATTCTCCCATAAAAACACACTGAGCAATCTGGATAGCAAAACTGACTGCACTCACAACAGTACTAAGTGAGAAGGTATCCTCACAAAGCCCCAGATACAAATAGGTGGGGATGAACTACTGACAGCTAAAGGCTCATGTGGAACTACTATCTGTGTGAGAAAAAGCAACAGGGTATTTGACGAACCTGAATTTAAGAAAACCCCAGAGAGACAAGAGATAGTCACTGGAGAGTGCAGTGGGCCAAAACGAGAGTAGTTGGAAAGTTTTGTGCATTTCCACTTACGGGTGAGGCTGGCAGTCCGTCTGAAGGGGATGGAGTACTCTGGGCCCTACAACTCAAAGTTAACCATCTGGGACTTCCCTGGTGGTCCAGCGGTTGAGTGTCAGCCTGCCAGGGCAGGGGGGAAAGGTTTGATCCCTCGTCCAGAAAGATCCCACATGCTGTGGAGCGGCTAAGCCCATTAGCCACAAGGATTGAGCCTGTGCTCCAGAGCCCAGGAACGGTAACTACCGAGCCCCCGTGCTAGTGAGCCCCTCAAGCCCTAGAGCCCAGCTCCTCAATAAGAGAAGTCACCGCAATGAGAAGCCCCTCATCACCACCACTAGGGAAAGCCTGAGAAGCAACAAAGACCCAGTACGTACACACACACACACACACACACACACACCCCTCACAAAGACCCAGTACGTACACACACACACACACACACACACACACACACACACACACACACACACACACACACACACACACACACACACACACACACACACACACACACACACACACACACACCCTCAGCACAGCCAAAAAAAAAATCTTAAAAAAAATGTTAACCCTCTGAAGTTCCTTTCAGAACACAGTCTTATACTGAGGAGAAACTACTATGGAACAGAATGCAAATTAAGCAGAACAGAGACAAGAACAGTAAAGGAAGAAGGCAGCCTAGACACGGAACTGGGAGGAGAAAGGGCCAGAAAATGAGAAAACTCAGAAGAGGGAGCTCTAGAACCATGAAGTTTTCAAGATTCACCTCTTTTTTGCTAATAGTTTAGAAAAATTAATCTCACTTTATTTTTTTTAGAAAAATTAATCCCACTTTAAAATGAGCAAGAAACAGTAGTGTAGTTATATTATACTTAAAAGATATTATATGGAAAAGAAAAAAAATGGGGGGAGGTACAGATAGCATACCTAAAACAATGAAAGCATACTAGAAAAACAATCCTTTAAAGCACATGAAAATTGTATTTCAAAGCAAGCTTTAAAAATTTAACAAAATGATATAATAATGTCCTCATGCCCCAAAGGGGGAGAAAAGATCAAAGCAATGCAACATACTAAAAAAAAAAAAGTAAGAAAAACTTCACGAAAAAACTCTATATTGAATCACCCAATCCCTAATGACCAACTCTAGAAACAGTATAGTATAATAACTGGATCTTTTATAAAGCGGAAGTCCTGGCATGCTGGCAAAAAGTCAAAGTCACTTGCAATGTTAAGACTATCAAAATATTGTTAGTTTTTGACAGCCATTTACATGGCACTGAAGAAACCAAATATAAGTCAAGAATTTACAAGCAGTCAAACTAGGAGGAGTGAAACTGCAGAGTCATATGGCAAATTTGCTTAACTTTTTAAGAGCCAGTTCCTTTTTAGAAACCATTAGTGTTCCCTTTACTTATTTATTAACTGAACAGTTAAATTTTCATTTTTAAAAATTCTGTCTCATTATGTCTCTCAGAGGCAGAGTACAACAATTTTCCAATGGGAAGATTTTATATATGCAGTAAATTTATAGTGTGCTATACACAAAATATAAAGCTAAGTGCTAATATGTCCTTCTAAATAAAACAAAGAATGCCAAATCTACATGCTTTCATCAAACAGTAACTGAGGTTAGAATTGTGACAATACAGTGCACAAACTACATACAGTAGTGTGTGTGTATACAGCTTACTTCACCCTCCTACCAAAACAAAACTGCAATACCTGAAACAGAAATTTTTAAAGAATTACTGATTTAAAATAATTTTTGAACACTTCTGCCTACAGTCATACTGTCCCCATTAATAAGAAAGCTCTGTTAAATTTCAATAGAAAATTATATAGAGTCCAAAAGTCCCCTCAGTCACTGAGGTGATCAAGTACACACCATGTGATCCAGGAAGGGCGTGGCTCACCAGTGGAAGAGCCACAGCACTTTCATGATGTAGCTTCATCCTCTTTTGGCATACTAAACCACAAGTGTATAATATACCTGATCTACAAAAAACTTGCTAGAAACAGATGAGTAAACTGTATAAATGTCAAAGTTTTCTCATAAAACACTGACTACTAGAACAAGACTATTCAAAGTGTGGCTCGGCTTTGCTATTGGTCCACAAATCATTCGTAACTGATCCATTTAAAAGTATGGTTAAAAACAAAGAATAAATCCTGCAAAGCATTTACACAATTTGGTAATTGTCTGTTGACCCTGATAATGAAAATTTGGGACATGCACTTTGTAAGGTTTTTTAAAATCTGGTAATTTATGTTTCGTGTATTTTATCCAAAAATCTGTTTGTGACAAACTGGTGGGAGGGAGGAAGGAGGAACTGGTATTTTATCAGAAATAGTTTAAGAAGCAGAAGCCAGCAAACTTCTTCAGTAAAGGGCCAGATAGTAAATATTTTAGGCTTTACGAGCCATACAGTCTCTACTGCAACTACTCAACTCTGCTATGACAGCATGAAAGAAGCCACAGATGACATGCAAACAAAATGGGTTTGGTCGTGTTGCAACAAAACTTGAGCTACAGAAACAGGTGGTGGGTCAGATTCGGCTTGCAGGTCAGAGTTTGCTGATTTCCGTAGCGTAACATTAAAGAAAAATAGGCTAAGGAGGGAGACAAGGCACAAAATGTTCTGAAAGGAAAAAACCTTGGGAAGGGTTTGGGAAAAGAGTATAATTTCTGGAAACCAATCATGAAGAGACTGCTACCCACGGTGATCTAGTTTTCCTTTAGCTATCCATCAGCCATGTTTCTAGTCATTTGTGAATCAGACTGTGGTGGACTTTTGCTTTGTTATAATAAATAAACTACAGTGCCCTAACATGATACTACACAGATAAAATATACTTGTTTATATACTTTTTAGAAAAGGACTGAATCCTAGTTTAACTGGCAGGGGAGAACACTGTCTGACATTACACTTTACAATCAAATCTCTGGTAGATTTAAAAAAAAATCACATTCTAGAAATAACATATAAAAAACAATCCAACCTCCTACAGATTAGTCCTGTCCCTCATTATTTGTGTTTTAAAATAGTTTTTGTGCCTAGGAACTACAAAGCTCTGCTGGTGGTATGTATTACTAAGAGTATAAATATAAGATTTTACCTTCAGTCTCCAGCTCTGAGCTGCCTCAGGAGAGGCCACAGACATCACAGCACAGAGACAAATCACCCACACTGTGCCCCATTCAAGGTTTGCAAAATTAATAGCATAGTTTTAAGGTACTA